TATATTCATTTACACACACACACACACACACACACACACACACACACACACACACACACACAATTAGTGATTTTGTTCTCCAAAACACCAAGATGAAAAACCCAGGACCATGCATTTTGTAAAAGCTCCTCCATATGTATTGAACTGTAAAAATTTCAGAAACCAAAGTAATTTGGTTACCCTTGTAGATAATTCAGGAAGAGCCTACCTGCAAGCCCATATTATGGGCTACTCATCAACTACTCCCTTCTTCCTCTGAAACCTGTAAGAAGAAATTCCCACTCTAGCACATAGGCCCTATTGTCTGCCTGTCTGTCCGTGGCATTAATGTCTCTTCTAATAAATCTTTTGTAAGGACAGTGCATCTCAGTTTTCCCCTTGAGCCTCCAACTTGCTTTCAGTCATCAAGGCTGAGAAAGCAATGGGGATAGGAAATTATATATATATATATAATGATGATATATATATCAAGACAAGCAGAAAGGAGGAGTTTTGCAACGTTAAAATATTCCACCGGATTCCGAAACCCGGGAGTTATCTCTACTCTCAAAACTGTTCTCCCCACCCCCATGATTAGACGAGAAGAAGGTAAGCTTACAAGGAGAGGACCCTAACACAAATTTTGCCACCAGCCATCCAACTGCTCCAGTGGTTCTAGATCATTAGATACCCTGATGTGTATTTTCTTCCTCGGCTTAGGAGGTGCATCTCCAAACAACTACTAAACCCTCAAAAAAAAACTGACCATCCTTCTCGAGGTTCCCCAGAAAAACTAAAACATTTCAAGTTCTCTGGCTCGTATCTGTCTCAAGACAGTGGGATCCAGACCAAAAGCACCCCAACAATGCTGAGGGAGGAATCTCCCTCACCTGTCACTTGTGAGGAACAAAAACTACAACTCCCATAAGGCAGTGGGGCCGCGGAATCCACAACTCCCAGCATCCTCCCGGAGGCCCAAGCCGGCCAGGCTAGTAGGAGGAGTGAGGTTGTAAATGTCTGCGGAAGCTGTGGAGAAACGTTCCTTCGGGATAGCAGCAGCTGAGGAGGAATCTGCGGCCCTGATAGAACAAGATGTAGCGCGCGGCCTGGAGAACTTTCCTGTGAGAGTGTGGCCTCTGGGGGCGGGGCCCAGGCCTAAGCCTTTCCAGGTAGAGGCGGGACCAGGGACTATGGAGGCGGGGCCAGAGCTTTTTTTTTTTTTTTTAACGTGGGGGCGGAGCTAGAGCTGCTCATATTCCCCCTGGAGGCGGGGCCAGTGCCCTTTCCTCTGGGGCGGGGCTAGAGCTTGTCCTATTTCCTCCCTCCCCAGGCGGGGCCAGCGCTCGCCTTCTAGGGGCTGGGCTAGAGAGCTGTCCCCAGCCCTGCAGGGGTTGACTAGAAGGCGGCTTTCAGGTCCCCCCAGGCGGAGCCTGCGCCCTTCCATGTAGGGGCAGAGATAGGGGCCTGCGCCCAGCCTCCAGGGGTGGAACTAGAGGGCTGCTCAGCGCTCCAATAGGTGAGAGCAGCGCTCTTTTATGTAGAGGCGGGGCTAAAGGGCTGCTCCCAACCCCGGGGGCGGGGCTAAGCCCTTCCTTATTGGGCGGGACTTCAGGGCTGCACACAGCCCAAGGGGGCGCTAGGTCACCTTGCCTAGGAGCCGGGAAAGATAGACACATAGCTCCCTCCTGTGGTAATAGTTGTCAAACTGACTGTAATCCACAGGCTTATTTTCCCTAATGCTTTTATTTTTTAAATGTTAGTATACAGGGTATTTGGTTTTTATTATGGCATTTTAAAAATGTTCATTAGCAGATATTAATTATACATAATAATGGGTTCCATGATGACTTTGTCACACAAGCACATAATGTGTTTTGATCATATGTACCACCACTACTGCTATCATCTTTTGTCCCTCTCCCTCTCCTAGGAATCCTTCATCCCCCTGGCTAGCGCCCCCTTCAACTGTGTGTGTGTGTGTGTGTGTGTGTGTGTGTGTGTGCGCGCGCGCGCGTGTGTGTAAGACACAGAGCGACCCAATGAGTTTCATTAAGGTTGTTCACTGCAACTGCAGCCTTCTTGACTTTTTTTTTTGTGATTTACTTATTCCTTGAGAATACCATACAGTATACGTTGATCTGACTCGTCTGTCCCCCAACTCCTCACAGATCATTGCCCACTTTCTTCCCTGTCTACCCAATTTCATGTTCTTTCTCTCGGAAGGAAAAAAAAAAAAAGGCATTGGCCTGGAGGGAAAGTTCTTAAATTAACAGAATTTAATATTTTTCTATGAACCTGTAGTAAGACCTTAAAAGGAATTTTTACTTTATTCTTTCAGTAAAATGGCAGTTCCCTATAGTATATGTGGCAGAGGGGTGGTTTTTCAGAAAGAGCATTTTTATCTGGCCTTGTACTCAGAACTTACTGAGGGGTCAGAGCAAATCAGTTCCCTGTCTGGTCTCAACTGTCTCTCATGTAAGAATGGCCTGGTTATGAATCTCAGCCCCTCGAGTCAAACTTAGCTGAGGTCTCCTTCATGCTGAGAGGTCTTGGACAAAAATGTAAGTTAACATCTGGAAAGCCTTGGAAGCCTTTTGTGTAGAGTTTAAGTACTAGTACCTCACTTTATAGCTGCTTTAGGAATTACTGTTTGTAGTTCTCTGTAAGAACTCAATAAATGCCCACTACTGTTACTACCTCAAAGACCTTGGTCTAACCTTCAACCCCTCTGACTGTGGTCTCAAAGTTACCTAAGGAATTGGGAATACCCAAAGATTCTGGCAAAAGAGCTTTGCCCTTGGATGTTGGACTTAGATGATGGTTTAGTCACCTTAGCTATTCCACAAAGCCTGAGCTTTTTGTTTTCAAAGTGAAAATGATTTAAAATTGTATAACTTTCCCCCATCTACTATCAGTACAAATTGGGGCTGCCTCCTCCTTCCTTCTAGGGTTTTTGTGGGCAGCAAATGGGGTGATAACTTCTATAGCAGATTTCTGTAAGCAAAGCAAGATTTTAATGTGAGCAATAGTTACTGACCTCTCAAATTATGATTTGTGGCCAACAATACTTTTGTGCATTGGTGGTTTTTGTTAAAACACAAGTAGATAACACTATATATACCAATGAGCCCTTAAAGCTTGTTCAAGATCAGACATTACAGAATGTCTGATAAGACTACCTATATGTTTTTCTTTATTCATCAAACCATTGAGTGCCTGTAATATGCCAGGCTCCGTATAAGATAGGGCCTAAAAGATGACTTCATTTGGTTGAAGAAGACAGTATTTGGTTGCTTTTATTTTAACCTAGAAGTATCTAACATGAAAGAAAAAATGCTCTGTTCTTAAGTAACTTCAATAAATATTCATTAAGAACTAAACATATACCAAGTGATGAGTTGGGATGCAAAGAATAGAAGAACATAGTCTCTGCCCTCAAAACACTAACAGTGGAATTGATTTAACAGTTTGTGCCACTGAAGTGGGGGTGGGGTGGGGTGGGGATTTTGAACTCTAAAAATAAGTTTCCAGTCTTGAATTGTATTTTTCTTTGCCATCTTCTCTAAGAACAATCCATAAGACAGTTGGAACAATGTAATTCTTTGTTCGCCTACTTTATTTTATATTCAAAGATAACTAAGAATAACTTCATTAGCCAGGCTATTGCCTGTAATCTCACCACTCTGGAGGCAAAAGTAAGAGAATCATAAATGTAAGGGCCATCCTAGGCTACACTGTAGATGTAATTCTAAATGGTCTTATTAAATGAGAAACACAGAGCCAAATGCAGAGTTAAAAGCCCAGAGATTGAGTAGCAGCCAAGAGCTAAGACCACCTTCTTACCCCTTGCTGTCGATGCCAACCTTCCCCTGAGAAAAGAGACCTTCTTCCTGTGTCCTGCCTTTTTTATTGCCTTTCTGTTCTGCCTTCTCATTGGCTGTAAACCAAACACATGACTTCCTCGTCACTGCCTGTCTATACAGACCTCCAGGTCTCTATGGTTGGTACTGAGATTAAAGGTGTGTGTCACCAAACTGGCTGTGTCCTTGCACACACAGACTCTGCCTGCCATGTGATCGGATTAAGGGTGTGTGCTACCACTGCCAGACTTCTGCTTAATGGCTTGCTCTTAGCTCTGATGGCTTGCTCTTAGCTCTGATCCCCAGGCAACTTTATTAACATACAAATAAAATCACATTTCAGCACAAATAAAATATCATCATACTACATAGCAAAACCCTGTCTCCAAAAACCAGTTACTAGGAATGTAGCTCAGTGACAGAGTGTTTTATGCTCAAGTTCCTGGGTTTGATTCCTTGCACCATCAAAAATTAAAAGGTTTATATAAGTAATCTTTAGAATCCTCACAGTCATTAGTGTCCATCAACTCAGGGGAGTTGATGTACTAATCATAGTTTTCAGATTAAAATAAGTAACTGTCTATTTTTCAAAGGAAGAGGGAGGAGAGAAGAAGTCATGTAATTGACCCTTAAACTAACCATTTTGGGCATACATGAAAGTCTGGAGAATGAAACTGTTGTAAAAGGATATTCCTGGCGTCACAAGATACTGAACAAAGTAAAAGTGAATAGCCAGGCAGTTTTACTGTTGCAAAAGGATGCGCAATGGCCCATACCAGATGAGCAGCACATGGTGGGGAGTTGGAGGGGAGGGGGTCACTTAACCTGTGTCTCACTCCATTGGTGGCAGTTCAACCTCACAATCTGTTGTGATTGGCTAAGTGATAATAGGTGGGCGGGAAGGTTGCTATAGAGAGTTTTGTTTCAAGAAAGTCTGCCACCCTGGGTTTGGCAACAGGTAAATTCACAAGAGTTTCACAAGATGGAGGAGTTTATAGAATGTTAGTCTATTGGTCTCTGATAAAAATGACTGCTTCTCAGAAAACATAATCTACACTCTTGACAGTATAAGACAAGCCTGGTGGTTGCCCAGGTTGTCTAGTGGTACTAGTGGTATAGGGTGTGTGTGTGTGTGTGTGTGTGTGTGTGTGTGTGTGTTATGGATACCAGGGATGCAGGGTAGAATTCTGCATATGCCATGGAAATGCTCCACCACTGACCTACAGTCCCAGCTCACCTTCAGTTAATTTTCTTCCATGTATTCCACATACATAAAAGGAATCTTACAAGAAAGTCAAAATAGCTTGCTTGCTGCAAGCCCTGGCTTCACAGACCCACACAACCATTAAGGCATGAAAAACTCAAGGTAAAAATAACTTTATGTCTGCTTTGCTTTGAGGTGCTGTGTACAGAGAAAAGAGAACATTGAAATGCTCACATTAGAAGCCAGCATCCCCTAACGTCCTCAGGGTTGAAAGCCAAGGAGAAAATAAACTAATTGGTTTTCTCAAGCTAAGTCAGGTTCAATCATTTGTCAGGTCCCTCAGATCAACTTCAAACGTTATTTTTAAGATCTCAGTTGGGCCTTGACCAGAATTATCTGGCTCACAGTCTCCTAATAGCTGTTAGAAGCAAAAACAAACTGGTGACGCTCGAGGCCAAGTCCAAGGTTTCTTGTAGCTGGGTTTTCAATACAACCAAAAAAGGAAGGAAGTTTTTCACAATGCTTCCTGAAGTAGTCCTTAGGATTCAGGAAACTTCCTTAAGACTCATGCTCATGCTTAAAATCCCAGTACTATACAAACTTGTGCTTGAGTTTCTGGGGCTTTGATACAGAATGTTAATCAGAACAGCCCCAACTTTCGATTGAAGTTGTCAAGAGCTGCAGTGATGCAGTCAGAACAAACTGGGTGTCCGCTCTGTGTCTAAAACTACTGGTTAGAAGGACACTTCATGACACACCCCAGAACTCATGCTTTGCCTTTGGACACATTGGTTTGAATGATGGCACCTACCCATTTAACACAATTCAACATCCAAATCAGTTCATGCTAGCCTAGTTCAGAGAGGGAAGAAATCACCGTGAACAAGGGGAACCAAGAGCGTGGAAAAAAATAAAATTTAAAATATATATATATTTAAACATGCTGTATGCTGTTTCTATTTTGGCTTCCTAGATAATTACTGTTTATATTTTCTTCTCTCAAGTATTTTTGGAAAACAAAATTGGAATCTCTACCCAGGATGTGGCTTATAGGAAATCATTTCACACTGATCATTTTGCATTTATCTCTAGCTCTTGCATATAACAATGCAAAAATAATAAAAGTTCCCTTCTTGTCCTTTATGTTTTTCTGCTGATTCCAAATCCCAGTATATGCATAAGATACTTAATAAGGTAGTGTTTGTTGATAAATGAAGAAAGTCTGGCCTGGGTCAGCTCTTAACTCTCCTCACTCAACATGAGTAAGTCACCAAGGTGAGGAAAGTATTTCATAGCCCGGATTTTTGTTTGGACGTGTTTCCAACCAGGAAGTTTAATTCTAGGACCTATTTTTTTCACCACCTACTACAATACCTGTTTAACTTTTCTTAAATTTACATGCCAGCCCCAACTGTAATTACTTGGATTCTCTCTTGTATTTTCCTTTATAAGTGAGATAGAAAGAACAGATAGGTAGTAAAGGGAAGGTAATATTTTTAAAGCAAGTTCCAGGCCCTGAGTAACATTATCTCCCTAGGAGTCTGTGATAACCACCCCCAGTATGAGTATCTTCCTTGTCGTAATTGTTGATCTACAGCTTACCGAATCATTTGCCAAGAGTCACCATGGTAATGTGAGCCTGGCTCTGTATATGACTCCAGAACAGTCCACCTTCTGCACTGAGAAGCCCCTCTGGCTTGGCCCTGTGTTCCTGACCACGGTCGTGTGATTGTGGGGTTTTCTGCCTGAACTACTGCATGGTTTGTTTCAGTATCTTAAACCCAGTTGGGAGCCTGTTAGTTCTTTGTTCATTTACATTTCTGACTACATTTTCTAGCCGTTTCCTGTCACCATTCCCAGCTTTCACCCTACTGTACTAGCCAGGACTCCCTTGACTGTATGAAACATAAACATCCCTCAAATTGCCTCAAGCAATGGAGGGAAAAGATTGCCTCACAAAATGGAAATGTCCAAAAATGGCTACCCTAGACCTATTTGTATCAAGACTCTAATGATATCTAGTAATGTCTCACCGCTGCACTTCCTGTTCATAGAGTAAAAGGTTCAAGCCCACTTCTGCATTTCAAAACCCACCAAAACCTACCAGTCCCAGAGCTCAAAAACCCACCAATCCCTGCACAGGAAATCCCGCCAATCCCTTGGCTTACCTTAAAATCCCACCAATTCCCCACCCTGGAAAACTGTGCCTCTAAGAAGGCCTATATAAAGCCTGCCTCCTGCTCAGTTCCTTGTTGCTTCTTGCCCAAGCAGAGGCAACCACCGTCTTGTGTCCCTCCAGTAAATCCCTCGTGTGAGGTCTGTTGTGCAGCGTGACTCTGCTAGGCTCCTGACTGCCGGGATACTTTTCCTTTCAGAGCTGTAACACTTGCATGGGGAAAGCTCTCCCTTCAAAGCTGCATCATGTGCACTGGGGAAACCCTTCCCCTCGGAGCTGTAACACACCGTTCACACCTCGGCTTCCCTTTACAGCACTTGGCTGGGCAGGAGGTTTTGTGTAAGTGGTAAACTTGATACCGAGCATTCTGTGGAGGAGTCCCACTTCCTTCTTTGTGTCAGTAACCCAAATTTGTATTTCTTTGTTCTGGTTTAGGGGGTGTGCTTGGCCACAAACTAAACACTTTTGTTGTTCTCTGTTGTGTTTTCGTTTTTTTGAGGTGGGGTCTCTTACTGTCTGAGGCCAACTTCAAGGGTGACCTTGAACTTCTGTTCCTGTTGCTTCCATCTGTAGAATGCTGAGGGCAACAAGCCTGTGTGCCTCCACCGTGGATTATGTGGTGCGAAGGATGGAACCCAGGGCCTCCTGCATGCTGAGCTGGTACTCTACCAACCGAGCTGTACCCCCACCCCCAAAACAAACACTTGAAAAGAACAGTGATGTTCTGTTTAGCCAGGTCAGCTTCCAGAACCATCTGGAACCCTCATCCAGAGCCCTGCATCAGGAATGGAGGGACTTCTGGGAGGAGCTGGGGGAAAAGTCCATCTGCTGTGACCAAAGCCCTGTTCTGTCCTTGGTGTGCTGTAGGCACAGGCAGCCTTCAGGTTGCAGTAACCTGTGCATGGACTTGGTCCACAGGTCTGTAACAGGAAGTAGGGTACAGACAGACTTTGTAAAGTGTTACACACTGGATACATTTCAGCTAAGAGCAAGTGGCCCCTCCCAGTTTGCAACACCACACTTCCCAGCATGGAAGTTTAACAGGTTGCTGAACATAAATAAGCATTTGAATAGCACGTCTAATGATTGATGACCTCAAATTATCTCTGAAAAGATGGATAATCACATAACAATATATTAAGTTAGGCACTTTTAAAAAGGTTTGGGGGGGTTGGTTTGGGTTTTGGTAATACGGAGCCTCCAACATAGTGCCTTTTACATGCTATACAACTCTACCATTGAACTTTCCTCTACCTCAGAAGATTTTTCTTCACTATAGTTATTTTTTGTTTGTTTGTTTGTTTTTTTGTTTTTTGTTTTGTTTTTTCGAGACAGGGTTTCTCTGTGTAGCTTTGCGCCTTTCCTGGCGCTCACTTGGTAGCCCAGGCTGGCCTCAAACTGACAGAGATCCGCCTGCCTCCGCCTCCCGAGTGCTGGGATTAAAGGCGTGCGCCACCAACGCCCGGCATCACTATAGTTATTTTTAAAGTCAGTAAAATATTTTTCTTCTGTAGTATTTTTTTTCTAACCTTTTATGCAGGAGAAAAATGAAGAAAGATGAAGATTAAATGATTTATAGTCATCACTGGTATCAGGGTCAACGATTTCATACATATTTTTTATTCTGGGCTAGTAAAATGGGTCAATGGTTAGAGACACTTCCTGCCAAACTGGAAATTTACCTTGAGGTCTGTATTGTCTGTTCAAAGATATCTGAAGCTCATTTGGAATTTTCTGCTATCTGTAACCCAGTGTAAAGGAGCTCAAATTGCCAGATTGTACAACAATTTTAACTATAGAATTTTTATATGTTTATATATAGATAGATAGATAGATAGATAGATAGATAGATAGATGTATATGTACATATGTATTCATCTATCTGTCTATGTCTATGTCAATCTCTGTCTGGATCTCTATCGAATGTTACAGATGAAACCCAGCACATTCTTTTCACATGCTAGGAAAATATATAAAAGCATATAAAAGAGTGTTTCATAGTAAATTCTGAACTGGGGCTATAGCTCAACAGTAGAGAACTTACTTGCCTATCATGTGTGAGGCCCTACGTGCAATCTTCAGTACAGCAAAAATAAATAAAATAATATAATAAAGTAGTCTCAAAAATATTTTTAATTTTTAAGTAGAAAGAACCAGACAGAACTAATTTTTAGAGGGAAAAAAAATACTCTCCTGGTTAGAAAACTGCAGCAAGTCAGACTTATTTTACAAGGAGTCATCTGTGTTGGGGAAAAAAATCATTTTCTAGTTCAGTGATTTAATGCTGTACTTTAAAAGGATATGCTCCTTGAAGAACAAATCAGTTTAAAAATACTCTTCATGAAAAGTTTCACAAAGATGATAAAAATCTTCATTTTACAGCTACTTCTTAAAGCGCCTCAATAACCACTTACATTTCAACGTTGAATCGTTAAAAAGCCAAAAGTGGGTTCTGGGTAAGACAGCACTCATGGCATTTGATGGACAGGGCATCTTCTTTGAGAGTTCCTTTGTCTCTGTGGGACATCTCTACACAGCTAAAGCGGTAAGACACAATGCGAGCGGAAGCGCTTTAGCTCCCCACCCCCGAATCACTGTCGAAGCAGAAGGCTGGCCTGCCCCCCACCCCAGACTCCCACTCTTCACCTTCTTAATCTTTCAACAGGAATGCCAATCCTCCTCCAGTTCTGTGCTTTTTAAAGTATAGGCTTCTGCACTTATCTGCACAGCTCCACCAAGCCTCCACAGGGAGTGTCACTACATGCTGTTCAATGTCTTTCTGAAGATGGGCCCAGGAGACACCCTATTAACAGAGGACCAGAGATGGGCAATTCCAGCATCCCTTGGGATCCTGTAAAATCCTTACCCCAAATGAAAAGCCATGCAGTTGGTACCTTGCAGAACCACTCTAACCCAACTCTGTTGGCACTGTGGCATGCCACTTTACTAACAGTTAGAATAAAAACAGTCCCCAGGAACTGCCTCCTACAAAAGAATGGTTTGGAAGGACACATCAGTGAAATTTCTTTCTTGTATCTGCACTAGAAAAGTCAGTGTTGCTTCCAATAGTGAGAATGTTTCTTACAGACAGTGCAAGACTCACGTCTAATCATACACCCTCTTTGAACTGACTGATTCCAGGTGAAGCCAATTGTTCAGTCTGTTTCTGTTTCACATTTTCTGTCTAAGCCCACTGGACATGTTTCTTTCACCCTGGGTTAGTCAGCTTTCTGCTTTTGTAACAAAACACCTGAGATAATCAGCTTAAAAAGTTGAAAGGTTGTTGGGCATGGTAATCCAAGCACTTTAGAGGCTGGGACAGAAGGATTCCCAGAAGTTTCAGGACAGCTAGACGCTGTCTTACCTTTGCCCTGACCACACATACTATACATAGAAGGGAATGGTTGCTTTGGGCTCACACTTTGTAGGTTTCAGTCCACAGTTGATTGGTCCCATCTCTTGGCCTTTTGCTAAGATTTCTAAGGCAGATCTTCAAGGTGGCAATATGTAATACAAAATTGATAGCAGCTGAGAAGCGGAATAAACACAGGGTAATACTGGATCCCAATAAACAGGCTCCACCTCTTTTTTAATAATTTATTTAACTTTATTTTGTGTGTGCATTGGTATGAAGGTGTCAGATGCCCTGGAACTGGAGTTACAGACAGTTGTGAGCTGCCATGTGGATGCTAGGAATTGAACTCAGGTCCTTTAGAAGAGCAGTCAGTGCTCTTAACCGCTAAGCCATTTCTCCACCCCGGGCTCCACCTCTTAAAGGTTACACTACCTTCCAATAGGAGCACGGGTTGAGGACAACCCTTGAACACATAGGCCCTTGAGGGGTATTTACCCAAGCCACGGCACACCTCACTTTTGCCTTTTGTTCATTACCTTACCTTTTTAAAAACAATCTTATTAAGTCCCTTTAGGAAAGCGGTGGATATAAATAAAGTTCCATGTAAGCAACAATTTTTCTGTACATAAAGCTTGTTAGGTCCTTAAGAGGGGTGTGTGTGTGTGCGCGTGCTGTATGTATGTATGTATATATAGAGGCCGGAGGTTTCTCTCCACCATCTCTCCTTGAGGTAGGGTCTCTCACTGAATCTGGAGTTCACTGATCAGCTAGACGGGCTGGCCATCGAGCCCTGGGGATCCTGAGTGTCCACACCTCCAGTGCTAGCCTGGCCGGTGCATGCTGCCCCATTAGACTCTTTTCTGCGTGTCTTCAGGGGATCAGAGTCAGACAGCTGAGCTTGTATGGCAAGCACTCTACCAACCGAGTCACCTCCCCAGCCCTACGAGAGACCTTCAGGGTTTAAAATTGTTCTTCTTAACACCTGTAAGGAAGGAATTAAGACAGCAGGCTTTCCACAGAGATTTTAGATTGGAGGCTTCTTCTTATTTTATAAATGTAATGTTTTGACAATGCAGGTACATTTAAAACACCAATGTTGCACATTATCCCTTTGTCTTTGAATAAGAACAGAATTTCTTTACACGTATCAGATACATCTATAATTTATATATCGATACCTATTTAATAAATTCCATTTTAAAATGATTTCTGTGATTGATTTAACACTAATGACCTTCCTACCCCCAGGGGAAAACACCTGGAATGACTCATAATGATATATTATCAGATAAAGCTAAAAGGGAAAAAAAGCTAAGGATAAAATATTGAACTTCATGCAGGCATCAAATTTAGTAGTTTTTGATCAAAGTGCTTGAGAATAAACAATTATGAGTGCTCAGCCCTAAATGGAACATCTTTATCAATCCTCCCACCCCTGGCAAGGCTCAGGGAACATCCCAGAAGAGGAGGTGGGGAAGATGTAAGGGCTGGAGGGTGGGGAGGAAGCTGTGAAATGCTGCCTTCTGAACATGGCGTGGCCATTGCACTCACGAATGCACAGCAGCTGTGGATAGCTATGAAGACTTCCATGAGATCAAACCAGCCAACACCCCAGCACAGATCGGGCAGGGAGGCCTGAGGCACCTCCCCTGAGTCAGGGGCTGTTGGCAGGTGATAGCTGCTGAAAGGAGGAAAAACCATTCTCTGGGGTGTGGCTGGTTACCCATGTTCCAGGAGACGGCCCCACATCCATGCATATATGGGCAGCACTAAATGGCCATTAAAAAACAGGGGGACATGGAACTGGGAGGTGGGTGTAGAGGTTTGGAATGGGGTGGGTTATGATCACAGTTCATCATTTACACATAAGCAAGTCTCAAAGAATAAAAAAGCTGCAGCTAGGCAGTGGTGGAGCACACTTTTGTCCCAGCACTCAGGAGGCAGAGGCAGGCAGATCTTTGTGAGTTTAAGGCCAGCCTGGGCTACAGAGTGAGTTCTCCGGCAGCCAGGACTACACACAGGAAGCCTGTCTCAAGAAAACAAAAAATAAAAATAAGAAAATTTAAAAAAAATAAATAAATAAAGTTTCAGTTCCTGATATCAAAAACTATGAGGGAAACAAAACAAGTTTCAAAGATTTCAATTCCTGATTATAGAAAAAAGAATTCTATTGTTATTATTCCTGTAAGACCACAAAACTTTAAAGTTTTGGAAGTTGCTTTGTGGGACTGGACAGAGGTCTCTGGTTCAGGGAACTTGTTGTTTTTGCAGAGCATCAGAGTTTGGTTCCTAGCACTCCTCGGGCAGCTCATAACCTGTAACTTCAGCTCCAGAGGGTCATATGTCCTCTTCTGACCTCCATGGGGGACCGGCACACACATAACAGACACATATTCACAGAAGTAAAAATCAAAATAAATCTTTAAAAATTAATTTCTTTAAGTAGAAGGATATTCTTGGGTCATGTTTCAGTGTGTTGTGTTTTTACAGGTTTGCTTTGTCATATTTCATATATGCTGGAATTAGGAAACGTCTACACCAAAAGCTGTACATACATTACATTCATATGAAATAGCTGAATGCCACTCTAACCAGCATATCTCATTTTTGCAGTATACTCCTGATCACGTGGCTGGGCCTGGAGCAGACATCGACCCCACACAGATAACCTTTCCTGGGTGTGCTTGTATCAAAACTCCGTGTCACCCTGGCACTTGCTCCTGTCTCCGCCATGAGAACAACTATGATGACAATCTGTGCCTCAGAGACATAGGATTGGAAGCAAAGTACGCCAAACCAGTTTTCGAATGCAATGTCCTCTGCCATTGCGGTGAACACTGTAGAAACAGGGTGGTCCAGAATGGTCTGCAGTTCTGTCTCCAGGTGTTCCAAACGGATAAAAAGGGCTGGGGACTTCAGACCTTGGAACCTATACCCAAGGGAAGATTTGTCTGTGAGTATGCTGGGGAGATTTTAGGGTTCTCTGAAGTACAGAGAAGAATTCACCTACAAACAACACATGACCCAAATTACATCATCGCCATCAGGGAGCACATTTATAATGGACAGGTCATGGAAACTTTTGTTGACCCTACCTACATAGGAAATATTGGGAGATTCCTGAATCATTCTTGCGAACCAAACCTGTTGATGATTCCTGTCCGAATTGACTCAATGGTACCTAAGCTGGCACTTTTTGCAGCCAGAGATATTTTACCAGGAGAAGAACTCTCTTATGACTATTCAGGAAGATTCCTTAATCAAATAAGCAGTAAAGACAAAGAAAGGATAGATCATGAACAACTGAGAAAGCCACAACTAAGAAAGCCTTGTTACTGTGGTGCCCCATCATGTGCCACCTTCTTGCCCTATGACAGTTCACTATACTGCCCCTTAGGAAAACCAGACACCAGTTAGGAAGGGAAGTCCTGCCTGCCAGCATCTCTGTGAACATAAACCAGAAGGAATCAAGCATTAAGTGACCATCTGCATCCTGCTTCCTCTCTGGCAGACAACCTACCCTCAAGGGAAGTGTACCTTGTATTCAGCATCTTGCTCATCCCTGTAAAAAGACCAGGGGATGCCCAGCCCTGCCTCTGCCAGGCTGCCTAAATTCAACTCAGGAATGTGGCCCAGACTGTAAAATGTCCAGCTGTACCCTTTCTCCAGAATACTTGCTTTTATAGTTAGATGCGGGAAAATGACTATGTTCAAACTAGCAGGATACAAGTGAAAACAATGAATCATTCAGTGTCATCCTTGTATTTCTTCTTAGAAACCAGAATGTATATTTGATGGCTGAAGCTGGAGTAGCCATCCAAAATCCAAGATGACCCTGGGAAAGGGTCATACAGAGCAAATCAACAAGCTACCTGTAACTGTAGAAAGTGCTGCTAGTCCTGACCTGTGCTTGTAGGTGAGACCTACAATAGCAAGGCACCGTTGCCTTGCATTTGAGTAAACCTGATGATTCGAGAAGACATCAGCCTTGCTTTCTAGCCAATTTTTTTTTTCAGTAATAAAGCTGGTTTTTATGTCTATTTGACTCCTGATTTTATTTATTGTTGCTAAACATGAATTAAGGAGGAAGGATGTTATCACCTGCTAAAACCTAATAATCAAACAACAATTATGAAGTACAACCATGAGAATGATTTCCATTTATAATGAGGTCAGAAAAGGAACCCTCTTGTAGAGTTTTGACTACATTCTTGGCTGTGTCCCAGAGCTTATGAAGTTAGGTTTCAAAACCTCAAACAACCTCACTCCTTCATTTATTAATAACATAAAAATAACCCTGTCAACACCATAGAAGCAGATGGGAGTTGAATAACTCCATTTAAACTTCTGAAAGAACAAAGGCCTCTGAATGCCTTCCTTAAAACAGGCTATTATAAGAAACCTAGTTAACTACAGTCTAGGGAATATTACTCCATGGTGGAGTATATGCCTACCATGCAGAGGCTCCTGGTTCCAGCCAATGTACCACAAGATAAATAAGACAGCTGTTTTAAAAATCAGCTTCATTCTATATATATTCTGTAGAAATTAAATATCTTAAAAAGGCGATTATTCAATCATGTATATTTTTAGTAAGAAGAAATTGATTTCTGTAGTACATATAAATCATATACAGGGAGGCTTTGTGCTTTAAAAAGATTTATATTATTTATAGCACCCTATTCCAGTGTAAAACCTAGGTATGTTAGTTGTCCATCAGAAATAAAGGAACTGTCTGGGAGCTACCTCAGTAAAGGTGCTATGAGCATATTAGAGTTTGTGTTTTCATAGCACCAGAAATTACTCCCTTAGAAACAAGGTAGTAGATGATACATAAAATGTCCCAAGTTACAAGGGTACAATGTCAAAACTTTCCTCCCTGCCATCTCTTCTGTTCCTTTGATTTCTCTGAAATCTCTGGCTTGCTTTTTGTAAGTCAGCTTATATGTCTCACTCCAAAATGGCTCTTTTTCTTATACTGCTGCGAAAGGACCCAAGCTCCTGAAGAAACAAGAAAGAAATCCCTAGGAGAAAATGTTGGACTCACTGTTCGTTGAGATGCCCTTTACTGCTTTTCACTCACCCTCTATTGAAAATTTCCATCTTGACTCAGGGATATTCAGAAGACAATCTGGAGACACATCAGCTACTACCTTGGTATTTCAGCCACAGAGAAAACTGAATACAACAAGACACTTGAGATTTGTGTTTGTGTCCTTTGTCTTAGTTACTTTTCTATTGTGATAAAACACCATGACTGAGGTAACTCATAAAAGAAAGTGTTTAATAGAGCTTATGATTCCAATGAGAGTCCATGATGGCAAAGGCATGCCAGCAGAAACAGCTGAGAGCTCACATCTTGATTCCATAAGCACAAGACAGAGAGAACTAACTGGGAATGATACAAGTCTTTGAAACATCAAAGCCCACCCCCAATGACACACCTCCTCCAACAAAGCCACACCTCCTAATCCTTCCCTAACAGTTCCACCAACTGTAAGCTAAGTATTCAAATGTATGAGCCCATGGGGGTTATTCTCACTTAGACCACCACATCCTCATGTACTTTCTTATTCTTAAATAAAACAAAAGTCCTGAAAATCATATTCCTAAGGTTAGATATGAAATCTCTCTTAAGCGCCAAGTTAACTGCATTTGCTTTGTTTTCTTAATGTTGCTATGGGGGCTGCAAAGATGTCTCAGTGATTAAAGCACTGGCTGCTCTTGCAGAAGACGTAGGTCCAGTTCCCAGTACACACATGGCAGCTCACAACTATCTGGAACTCCAGTTGTGGGGGATTTGATGCCTCTTCTGGCCTTCCTGGGCACATGCAACTTCAGGTATGTGTGTGGTCACATACATACATTGCAAGCAAAACATCTGATACACAAAGGTAAAAATAAATTTTTCAAAAAATGCTGATGCTTCTACCTTTAAGAGAACACATTTAAAAAATACTTCTGGCTGGGCAGTGTTGGCACACACCTTTAATCCCAGCACTCGGAAGGCAGAGGCAGGTGGATCTCTGAATTTGAGGCCAGCCTGATCTACAGAGCGAGTTCCAGGATAGGCTCCAAAAGCTACACAGGGAAACCCTGTCTCAAAAAAAATATATATATATACTTCTGTTCGACTACTGTGATAAAAAAATAAAATCTTTATATGACATATCATATGATAAAAATGACTCTTCACTTCTGTGATCTTCCTAAGTCCCATCACCCACTATGGTCATGAGAAAAAAAAGTAAGAAATACATCCTGGAAAAGTCAAAACCAAAAGCATTCTTTATTGTCAAAGCACTTTATTCTTTATTGTCAAAGCACTTAGTTTCCCCTAACAGAAAAGCCACCGACATTCTGAATAAGAGGGCCAGATACATATGTTCCATATGGTCTTTGAGTGCCTATATAGTACAAGAACTGTGTGTGCAAATTTGGTACCTGCATGAATAAGTGACCAGCAGAGGAGAGTTGTCAGAGGAGATTCCAAAAGACCAGGAACAAGACTGTTTAAGGAAGACCAAGAGAGTTCCTAAGTAGCTGCCTGAACTAGTAAAGATACAAATAGAACCAAGAGAAGAACTAGATGTCAGGGATAAGAGGTCATGCAAGCTGAGGGATGGTGCTGTAATTTTCACTAACACAACAAGATGCATTGAAACGTCTTTTCCAAACACTGAAAGAGAAACAGCTGGTAGAACATAAGACCCTCAGATACAGAGTTCGTACATTTTTGTTTTTTTAATTCACAATATTCAAGTGCTAAATACAAAACAACAACAAAACCCACCTTAATTGTGATGCTGGGAAGAGGGTTCCATGGGTAAAGTACAATGCCATGTAAGCAGGAAGCCTGAGTTCAGATTCACAAAACTTATCTAAAAGCCAGCCATGGTACCACAAGTCTTAGTGCCAGAGAGGCAGAAACAAAATGATCCCAGGTGGGTCACTGGCTAGTCAGGCTAGCCAATGGTTGAGTTCCAGGGTCAGTGAGAGACTCTGTCTCAAAGAACAAGGGGAAAAGCAATGGAAAAGGCCACCCAGCTTTAACCTCCAGCCTGCAGATGTACCTGCACACACACACACACACACACACACACACACACACACACACACGTGCACACTGCCGCCCCCAAAATACATCTTGTTTGATTTTTCTTCTTCCCACAAACATTTCATCCCAGCACTCTACTCCTGGTATAAGGTGAGTGCACTGTAGCTTTCATATGCACAGGAGGCCATCAAAAACTGACTTAAAGTTTCCTAAGGGCACATCTTGTCCAGAACTGGCTGTACCCAAAAAAAGAAAAAGAAAGAAAAAAAGAAAAGACAAAGAACATCACACAGACTGCCATTGTGGCCAGAAAGCACATCTTGCCAAATTGTTCTCCTCACACGCAAGGTCTGGCCATTTTAACAACATTAAAGAAGAGAAAACCAGAAAAGAAGCCATAAAGAAAGGCAGTATCTAGCAGGGACCCAAGGCAAGCACGCCTCCTCACAGGAAGCAGAGGTGCCTGGAATAATGATACCCCTGGGAGATTAAGGGAGTTCTGGTGTTTTAAGGGGGCTTTAGAACCCTAGGCTTTATTTATAAGGTTTAGGCATCTTTTTCCATTTCTGCTATGAAATTGTATATAAATACATATGTATATATGCATACTGCTTTCCTTTTTAAAAAAAATTTCCAAACAGACAAAAAATGTGCTTTTTTCACAATGTAATAGTGCCATGTCAAAGTAAAAATGTCTTTAAATTTTTCAGAATCTAGGGGCTAGGGAGACTACTCATCTGGGGAGATGCCTTGTAAGCGTAAGGACCAGAGTTCCATCCCCAGAACCTATGCAAACACACCCAGGTGTAATGGGGCACACTCATAATCGCAGGCTTAGGGAAGTGGAGACAGGTGCTTCTCGGGTACTAATTTCAGGATTGCCGGGATAAATGCTACTTTTACTTTTTTCTTTTTTATCTAAGAAGAAAGTCATTTTAAATACTCCAATTCCAGTTTCAGTTCATGCAGAATGCTGCTCTGGGGCCACCCACACACGGAACAGTAAGAATTTATCTCTGCTCACAGTACCAACCTGAGCAGAGTTGTATGAGTCTCACAGAGGTCTCAAGACATGAAGGTTCTAGGGGACCATTTTCAGGGTCCATAACTCCATTTCCAACAGCCACGCCAAGTGTAACCTAAAGGCTATGGAGCATCAAGGAGTTGCTGGAGTCCCACTTTATGTCTTCAGTCACAACAAATGTCAAAAGCTCAGGTCATTTAGTGAGCAGCCACTGTGTAGGAGCCACCATAGAAGAGTTTTGATCTGCACTAAAGCTTTTTGTAGTTACTGGTGCTTGAAATATTAGAAAGCCATGGTTTCCACACCCTGCTCAGTTCCTAGCACCCACTGGGGTAGCTTACAACTACTTGTAACTTCAGCTCCAGGGAATCTAATGTCCTATTTTGGCATCCACATGTATCTGTAGTCAAGTGTGCATATTAGCGCACACACACACACACACACACACACACACACACACACACACACAGAGGGGGGGGGAGGCGGCGGGGAGACTCTTTAAAAAAAGCCACTTTTGTCAGGGTTTCTGTGGCTGGCATTGCCTTTGCATCGACTTTCAGGGCAGTCTACAACAGCTCTGTGCCAAGGATGATGACACTTTCCAACTGGTTTGGGTTTTTTTGTTTTGTTTTGTTTTTCTACTCAAAAGGCAAGCCCCCAATAACAGGGTCACCAAATTGACCTAGGAATGGATTCACTTAATCTAATGTCTCTAGATAGAATTTTCCTGACAGCCCTCCATTCCATTTCTCTACACGAGAGAGAATGCAATATAGTTCAAATCCACTTTTCCCACATGCTACAACCTCATCTCCCAAGAGGCAAGAAGCCCACAGCTCAAAAGGTAAAAACAGAGACTTAAGTTTTATAATCCCAGGCCTCGTTTTAATCTAACACACTAAATACTCTGGAGAAAACAGTCAGGAAAATATATTTTGAACAGTCTCCCGACAAATATTTCCAATACAACAAGCTGGGCCTGGTCCAATGACCAACTCTGGATATCATAAAATGGAATCAAGAGAAGGGGTGTTGGGATATGATGAGACCATGCCAGACCTCTCTGGCTCTTAGACCATGGTTGTTAACTCTCAGAGGCAAATGAGGTCAGAGCCAGCCTGAATGAGCCATATGTAGGAAAGGTCAGAGCTATTAACTCAGCAAGGGACCCAGCTCAGCAAACCACAGGGAGAGAGCCAGCACAGAAACTGCAGGCAGTTAGGAGGTCACTGTCAACTGTGGGCAGAGAGAAGAGTGGAAAGAATCTGCTCCTGAGGACGGAATTGATTAACTGTGAGTCACTTTTGCAGACTGGAGTCATTTGCAGTCAAGAGTGAACCAAGCTGCATACCCCAGGGTAGTATTTCGGCCACAGAGAGTAGGGAAGGCTGCAGTGCTATAGACCACATGAAGACCAGGGCTTGATCCACTCACCACAACTGCCCACCACCATGACAGCTATTCCTGAACCCTCTAGAAGAGTTTCCCCTATGCCAAGCTCTGCTGGCTCTTACAGATGCAAGGGAGGATAAAGAACTGTTGAAGTACTGCAGATTCCCTGGGTTGGGGTGTATAGCATGAGTACACCTCTACTGTGCTGTAAACTGCTACAGAGGACTGACAATATCCACCACTGTTAAAATCATTTTGTGTTTTGCTATAATATTTAGACTCCAGAAACTTCTCCTACCAAAATTTCACCACAAATTGGCAAAGATACACAAGTAAAAACTGGTTTACTGGAACATTTTTTTAAACAATGAAAATAAATAATCCAGATACTTAAGGTAAAGGAATGTTTAAATCAAATCAAGTATTTTCAAATGAGCTATACCTGGGCTGGAGAGATGACTCAGAGGTTAAGAGCACTTGCTGCTGTTGTGGAGGATCCGAGTTCACTTCCTAGCACCCAGGTTGGTGAACCACACCACCTGTCACTCTACCTCCAGGGGATCTAACACCATATTCTGACCTCTGCAGGTACCTGCAATCGCATGCTAAGACATACACACACACACACACACACACTCATAATTTAAAGCAACAACAATAGTCTAGGGGTTTGGAGAGAAGGCTCTACTGTTTAAGACATGCAGAGGACTCAGATTAAGTTACCAGCAACCACATGGCAACTAGGAATGGCCTGACACTCTAGTTCCAGTGAAGGCCACATCCTTTCTTGGCCTGTGAAGTCGCATGTACTCACATACACATACACACAGACACAAACATATACACATACTTATCAGGAAAATTCTATCTTAGAGTTAGGCATGCCTTTAATCTCAACACTCAAGAGGCAGAAGCAGGCGGATCTCTGTGAGTTTAAGGCCAGCCTGGTCTACAGAGTGAGTTCCAGGACAGCCAGGGAAGTTACACAGAGAAAAACCTGTCTCAAAAAAATCTTTTAAAAGATGCATTTTAAAAATTAAAAAATGAGCCAGGCGGTGGTGGCACACACCTTTAATCCCAGCACTCGGGAGGCAGAGCCAAGCAGATCTCTGTGAGTTTGAGGCCAGCCTGGGCTACCAAGTGAGTCCCAGGAAAGGCGCAAAGCTACACAGAGAAACCCTGTCTCGAAAACCAAAAAAAATAAAAAATAAAAAATTAAAAATTAAAAAATGAGCTACAACCATACAACCATAGTAATATACAGTACCTTCACAGGGTATATAAGATATAGTATTTATAGCTATATTTTTTCTTTTGGTGCTGGGTATCAAACTCTAGCAAGGTCACAGATGCTAAGTAGGTGTTTTATCAGTGAGTTGTATACCCTAGCTCCATCTTGTTTTATAAAAACAATGTTTTATACATTCTATATAATTTCTATATGTGAGTACAGACATGCTATGGTTATCAGCTGATTCTTTAGTATTAATATACATATATAGTATTACTTAAAAATGCTTAGAAAAAATCTGGAAAGATCAACTATTGACAGTGATAATCTAAGTGGCATGGATTTGAAAGATTGGAACTCACAGAATGAGCACAAGAGAGAGACCAAGAGAGACACACAGGGACTTTTATGTTGTTTTGTTTTGTTTTTGAAACAGTATCTTTGTATAGCCAAGGTTATCTTTGAACTTGTGTATCCAAGGTTGACCTCAAACAATCTTCCTGCCTAGGTCTTACCTTAGTCATCTGAGTTGATAGTTTTACCCTATATATTTATTATGTGTGATACATTTTTAAGATACAGATTTTTCTGGAGAAACTTGATAAACAGCTATTAATAATTCTTTATTTTTTTGAGATTATAATATAATCACATCATTTCTTCCTTCCTCTTTCTCCCTCTGAAGCCTCGCATATCCCACTACTTGTTCTCTTTCAAACTCATGGCCTGTTTTTTCATTAATTGTTGTTACATGCATATATGCAATGTATATATATATATGTATCTCCCTAAATATAAGTTGATGAGTCTGTATAGTGTTACTGGTATGTATGTTTTCAGGGTTGACCAGTTGGCATTGGATAACCAATGGGTGTGCTCTTCTCTGGGGAAGACTGTTTCTCCCACTCTCAGCATTCCTTATCATGTAGTTCTCTGTGCAGGGTTGAGGCCTCATGGGCTTTGCCCCATCCACTTTGGCATCGCTATTGTTGTCCTTGTTCAACTAACTCATACTAGGCAGTCATGTGGTTGAGACTTTATCAGCGTAGCTTCTAACATTACAGGGAGACATAGTCACAGCAACCCACCTGAGGCTCTGCTAGTATGAGCCTTCTGTCCCTCCTCTGCAGTGTTCTCTGAGCCTTAGGCATGTGGGTTGTTTTGTAGATCTAACCACTGGAACTGGGCTCCACAACTCTGCATTTCGATTGGTTGTGCTTTTCTGTAATGGTATCCATCCACTGCAGAGATAAGGTTCCTTAATGAGGAATGGAATAAGATACTTCTTAATAAAAGTAATAGACGTCTCCAAAAATAATCCAACTGAAAAGATGAGGAATCATTCCAAGCCTCTCTTCCTGTCTACTCTTTACAATGCCAGCAGTTGGGGCTGTGACATGGCTCAACAGATAAGAACTGACGGGCTGTTCTTCAAGTAGAACGAAGTCCTGTTCCCAGAACCCACATAATGGCTCACAACTGTCTTGTAACTCCAGCTCCAAGGGACCTGACACCCGATTCTGACCTCAGTAGGCACCAGATACACATGGGGTGCACAGACATTCATGCAGGCAAAACACTCATACACATAAACTAAAAATAAATAAATCTAAAAAGCTAGCACTTGCAACAAACACCTGAACATTGACCCAAGAGAAGAAAAGCTGTACACAATCTGGTTTAGTTCCTCCCTCTTAGCTCCCCTAAATCCACAGCAGCCCTAAATAAAAGGTACTCCAACTTTACAGACCATTTATTTCTTACTATTTTGTAAGAAAACGGCAAAATAAATAACTACAAACTTCGATCTGGCCACTAGAGGGAGAACATTACACATAAAAACACTTTCAGCGGCCACCTTTACAAACATTGCCACGGGAGGAGGTACAAAGACTGGTGCCCACAACATTGCTCAAAACTCAGAACCCACAAACAGTAACCACTGTGTTCCATCCAGTCTTTGGCTTCTCTAACACGCCCTGAAGCAAAGGCCTTGCTAAGAAGCTTATACAGGTGACTGTGATTGCCATGACCTCCGAACCCACTTACAAATGTTCTAGAATGGAAGCAAGGGGGAGCTGGAAGCTGCCCCAAACTATCTCTTAAGGAACAATGCTCCATTTTGAGCACAGCAGCGGAGGTAAGAGAGTTAGAAATGTTAGCCTTGTTTCACAAAGACCAGGGGACTTCGTCTTCTCCGAGTTGCCCTCACTATGCTTCTTCAAACTTTGACTGAAGGAGCACAGTGAACACACATTTGTTTCCTTTTGTTTTTCACAATGGATCTCAACCTCTATGGGCTTCACTCTTTTCATGCACTAGAGTCTGACACAAACGAGCTGATAATGGACCGTGTGGTCGCCATTATTTCCAGCAAGATGATCGTTTCCCATAAGCCCACCCTTCCTCTACTTCACCTCTAAAACAAATTCATATCTTTCTTGAGAGTCATCTGAGTATTTTGTAAAAATAAGTGCTACATTCTACAGGGAAGCCAAAGGTGTGAGCAAAACGTGTCTTTCTTTCCAAAACTGCCATGGTCTTTACCTTGGATGTCTCATTAACTTATGAAAAGTACTGAGCAGTGGCAAAGCAGAGACATCTGAGTTGGGACTAGATTCAAGGCAAGTCAAAGGGCTACATATAAATCCCCCTGTACTACTTTAACACCCCTGTCCCAATTCTATGACTTCTAGACATACTTCCATTTCATCTTCAGAGTTAAATGGGTTGGTCAACTCGGTCAAAGTCACAGATCTAACAAGTGGTAGGACCAGAATTGAAACCTTAGAATCTAACTCCAAAGCCCATGTTTTCAACCATGAATCCATTCTATCACCTCCCACTTGTTGTTTCTCCCTGGGGGGCTTTGCTTGATCTAGTAAGACTTCATCCATGCTTCTTCACACCAAACTCACAATAAAGTCACAGATTCAGTAACATAATGGTAACAAAAAGAAGAAGAAGAAGAAGAAGAAGAAGAAGAAGAAGAAGAAGAAGAAGAAGAAGAAGAAGAAGAAGAAGAAGAAGAAGAAGAGCGTCCTGATTCTATCTCATTCCACAGCTGCAGTTGCCCCCAGGGCACATTGCAGACTCTTGGAGTCCTGGTTTCCTACACGCCCACTGGGGATAATGAGCCGAAACAACTAGTTCCTCCACCACTGAGCTCCAGATTGAACTAGATCATGGACATTAAGCACTCAGCACAGTGCTGAGCACATGGGGGGGGGGCTGAAATTGCTGGTTGGGAAGCAAACCTGAAGACAGAGTAATCACAGTTTATAGCAAGCACTAAGATGTCAAACTTCACCAGGGAAGAGTGAAGTGGGTGCCTCAGACACCAACACCTTGACCCTTCTCACTGGCTTTCCAATACAGCCATCTCCTAAAGGGAAGACATTAAGGACACACAGGACCCCAGACCATTGTCACCTTGAGTGAAGGCTTCCATGTTGAGGAATTTTGCTTGACATGTACCTAATATATGTGGAATTCTTGCAGAAGTCTGCTACTACACTGATTCCAGATACAGGACTCATCCACACCAAATTATGTTTCAGGGGATATGTGGAAAATGTGACAACCCATGGCAGTTTCTTCCAAGGTCATTTAAGCTGTTCTTGTGGTAGTTTGAGCTCAGTTCTTGTTGGCTGTTCTCAGAGGAGCTGAAGAAGAGCAGGTCACATTCTTCAAAGACAAAGACACAGTTGGTTACTATGGGGCCTTGCTTTTCTCACAGAGAAGTCACTCTCAAAATTCTGATCCCTAGAAATGACAGATTTAAAAAGCTATGACCATTGGCTACACACCATGAAGTTTCTGGGAAGTTCTACAGTGCAGTCATGAGATACTAGGAATGTTTAAAAAGCAAATGATATGTTAATAATGCTGTAAAAATAGTGTGGACTCACTGACCCCCAATGATGCTGGAGATCCTCAGAGCCCCAAACTGTGTGAAATGCTGAGCTAGGGAAACACCACTGTACCGGTGAGTCCTCTCTGCCAAACCCTAAACTGTCCCCTTGAACATCATCTTAATCTATACATGTGGAGTTGATGAGGTTAGAACTGAGATCCTGGACCTGTGATCACAGAGAAAAGGATGAATTTAAACCAGGAGGCTGAACTAAACCAAAATCAAACGAGTTCAGAGGACACCACAGAGAACATTTCTCCAGCTCATCAAGGTCTCTTGAGCCAGCACACTGCCCTGCCTTTTCTGTTCTTTCCTTAACTGTTATGATCATGAGCGACTTCTTTTTTAATGGAGGTGCTGCTGTGGATATCGCTCTGTATAAGTAAAATGCTGATTGGCCAGTAGCCAGGCAGGAAGTATAGGTGGGACAAGCAGAGCAAAGAATTCTGGGAACAGGAAGGCTGAGTCAGGAGACGCTGCCAGCCGCTGCCATGAATACCAACATGTAAGATACTGGTAAGCCATGAGCCACGTGGCAAGGTATAGATTTATAGAAATGGGTTAATTTAAGATAGAAGAACTAGATAACAAGAAGCCTGCCACGGCCATGCAGTCTGTAAGCAATATAAGTCTCTGTGTGTTTACTTGGTTGGGTCTGAGTGGCTGCAGGACTGGCGGGTGAGAGAGATTTGTCCTGACTGTGGGCTAGGCAGGACTGGAGAAAACCTCAGCTACAAGGTGCTGAGGATCAAACCAAGGGCCTTGCACATGCCAGGCAAGACTGCCATTGAACTCCAAGCCCAGCCCAAGTGGCACTTGGATTGTTTGTGAGGTAGGTTAAGGACGAGCTTCAGAATGACACACAACAGCAATGGCCAGATCCAACTTTCCTTCTGCATGGACACTTTGTGGGACAGACAGACCACATAGCATAGAAGTGATATTGGCTCAGGGATGCAAGTTTGTTTTTAATGGGAGTCTAGTTCATACTTTCATGTGGCCTTGGTCCATTTTTCTGTTCATGGCTATAACCATAGCTGATCAGCCCTACCTGACTGATACTACCTTCCTCCTCTTCTGTTTTGTTCTCAACATTTGTGTGTGTGTGTGTGTGTGTGTGTGTGTGTGTGTGTGTGTACATGCATGAGCACACACAGGCCACAGCATACCTGTGAAATCAGAGGATAGTGCCTAGGGAGCATGGTCAAAGTACACTATGTTAAACATTTGAGGTTTTCATTCTCTCCCATAGGTGGGTATCATCACCAAATATATTTTACCATAAGGAACGGTACCTGCCTAAAGGTGGCCCAGGGAAGTAGATGGACAAGGTCCCAAATGACCTCTTCCTCCCACTGAAGAGATTCAAGACACATTTTCCTGTGTTGTTTAAAGACAGATGCAATTTCATTTGGCAAGTGTGGGAAGGAAACCAACTTGTGGACTTTGAGAAAGCAAACAACAGGCCCCAAAGAAGCACAAATGAACCTTTATCAGCTCACTGAGGACATGCTTACCTCCTTCCTTTCCTCTGGCAGCCGGGTAGCTGGTTTCACTTTTCTCCTCAGCTGATTCTGAACTTCTAATGGCACTTTGCTGAGGTGCCAAAGAGACAAGCTAGGAGTCACGCTGATAAGCTTCCATTCCCTTCAGCAGATAGCAAGGAGTTTGTCAAACAGGGCCTAGGCTGGGGCAAGAGAGCAATTCTATCTGACCTTCAGTTTTTCTGAAATTCCAAAGGCCCAACTAAGCAGCCTTCTCATGAGGATGGCTTTGGGGTCAATGAGCATTTGGGAACAGGTTAGAATCTGAAGCTGGCCATTTCCACCCCTTAGCATTAACCCTTGAACTTTCTAAACTCAAATCGGGCAAGTTTCAAAATCCAGCATTTCTTACTTTATAGCCTACCTAAATATCATCTGTAATGAGTTCCCTAAATCAAAAAATTAATTAAACTCTGCCTCTAATGCTCTGATCACAACAGTGGAAGAAGGAGCTCTGGCTAGCTGCCAAGGTTTCACCCCAGACTCGTGGAGTTAATGATTTCCATGGTGTTTTAAGCATTAGTGACAACAAAGTCCAGATTTGGACAAACTGTGGAACTAAGGTCTTGTCTGGGGACTTTGTATTACAAGAAGCAAGTTCCAACCAATACAAACGAAGCCAACACTCAAGAACCTGCCATTTCTCATACTTTCTGGTATTAACTTGAAAACTTAGTGATGGAGGGGGAAGGTAAGGAAAATGTCTCTGCCAATTACACAGTTCTGTTAAATGGTTCTAGTGGGATGGACTGAGTCATGGAACTTTATGAGGGATTTCTGGGTAAAATGAGTTCCCTAGGCAAGCTGCTGCTTTCTCTCACACACTGCTTGTGTCTACTTGCAGAATCAGTCATGCTTCACATCTATATTGTACTCCACAGTGAACTTTTCACTGGGTGTGCATTTCATTCATTTTTCAGATTTTGTAGTGTGTATAAGTGTTTTACCTACTTGTGTGTTTCTGTATCATGCGAATGCCTAGTGCCCATGGGTACCAGTAGAAGGTGTCCGATCTCCTGGACCTGGAGTTACAGGTGGCTGTGAGCCACCATGTAGGTGCTGGGAACCAAACTCAGACCCTCTGCAAGAGGATGGCACACAGGTTTCATGCCTATAACTTCAGGGCTGGAGGAAAAAGTTCAAAGTGCAACTGGAAAACTGAAGGAAAATATGGTTTCTTTACTAAGGGTGATTACAAGAGGGTGAGAACTAGGGGATTTTCATGGTTAAAGGCCATTAGTTTATGTCAACAATTCAGTTATCAGGGAAGACGTGGAAACAGAAATGACCTACTCTGACACCATTTTGGAAGGACCATTTCACCACACACTTGCCCTAATCAGCACCTACGAAAACAAACAGCATCGTTCATCTCATTTTTCCCCCTGAAGGGCAATGGACAACTGAAATGTTTATCCAAAAGGAGTAGGAGGAGGGAGGGAGGAAATCTACGTTGTTACAGAAAGGTATTCCATTTTAAACTATAGGCTGAGCCGTTTGAAGTTTGAGAACTATTTGCAACTCAATGTTCTACAAGAAGGAAGTGTCTGTCACTCTCGGTTGCTATCACCCTCTCCTGCCACCTCCTCTCCTTTCTAATCATGTTCTCAAGGCCTTGGGAAAGAAAATTTGCCTGCTTCCCACTCAACTAACGTGTATAACACACCCCGGAAAATAAAGCAAGGTTATCAGGAATTCAAGGCCAAAACAGATTTTAAAAACCACACCCCAAATCCCTTCTATGCCTCAATGGAAACAAGAAACAAAAAACTTTTAGAAAGCAATCCAAAATAAGGGCTAATGAAGGAGACAACAAAGAGACGAGCCTGTGTTCCATACTGGAAGTGGCCCACCACACAAGTGATCTGTCTACTAGTAGCATTTATTTAGTGCAAAAAATGACTGAATGATTAATAACCAGGAAGTATAGGACGGAGAAACTGAGTGCAACACATTTTTAAATAAGCAGGCACAAATATCCTTTCAATGCAAGAGAAAACCTAATCAATCACTTTATGAAGATCTTCAGGAAATAAACAAAAATACTAGACGTCCTTGGAAGGTGTCTTTCCTTAGTGTAAGGGATGTTAATCAGTAGCTTAGGGACTGTTATATTTCCTACTATGTTAAGCTTGCCTAAGAACAGAAAATGCAGATAAGATACTACAAAGACACCACTGAATGGATAAACAAATGAGGAGGCTGGAGAGATGACTCAGCAGTTGAGAGCACTGGCTGTTCTTGCAGAGGACTTGGGTTTGGTTCCCAGCACCTACACAGCAGCTCACAACTGTCTGTAACTCTATCTCCAGGGAATCCGACATCATCACAGAGACATACATGTAGGCATAACACCAATGCACATAAAATAAAAATATCATTTTTTTTAAATAGGCTGGAGAGATGGCTCAGAGGTTAAGAGCACTGGCTGGTCTTCCAAAGGTCTTGAGTTCAATACCTGGCAACCACATGGTGGCTCACAGCCATCTATAAAGAGATCTGGTGCCCTCTTTTGGAGTGCAGGCATACATGCAGGAAGAACATTGTATATGTAATAATAAATTAAACAAACAAGCAAACAGTTGAGGACAATCCCCTGCATCCAAGTTTGACTTTTTTTGTTTTGTTGTTTTTTAGTTTGGGGATTTTTTTTTTTTTTTTTGAGACAAGGTCTTACACTATGTAGCTCTGACTTCCTAGAACTGACTGTGTGTGTAGACCAGGCTCCCAGCTAAGTTTGAGTTTTGATGAAAATGGTCTCTTTAGAAGTGCATGCCTTTAAGGGCTTATATCCTGAAGAAGGAAGAGAGAGTGTCAGGCATTAGAGGAACAAAAGGCTGGAGAGCTGTAACTCTAGTTACAAATGGCAGCAGGAATCTCATTAGGGTCCTGGTTTCACTATGACACCTACTTCACAAGTGCTGCTGTCAGTTTCCTAAGCAGTCTGCCTCTAGCTACATGTTTTTTATGTGCTGTGTATGTGCCTGTGTGTTATATCTGTGTGTGCTGTATGTATGGCTGTGTGCATGTCTGCGTATGTGTGTGCCTGTATGTCTGTGTGCATGCCTGCATATGTGTGTGACTGTTTGTATATGCCTGAGTGTGTATTTGTGCCTGAGTGTGTATTTGTGCCTGTGTGTGTACCTGTGTATCTGTGTGCCTGTGTGTGTGAGTATATGCCTAAGTGTGTATGCCTGTGTGTCTGTGCATGAATTTGTATATGTGCTTATGCGTATGCCTATGTGTATGTCTATGTGTGTGTCTGTTTGTCTGTGTGTATGCCTGTGTGTATGTTTGTGTCTGTCTGTGTACCTGTATGTGCATGTGTGTCTGTGTGTGTGTGTGCAGTTTTGTAAGAGATAAAAACTTTCCATGTTAATGGTTTGACTATGCAGTGGCCCACCCAGGCTTGTGTACTGAACACTTAGTCCCCAACTGGTAGCTCTATTTTTCAGAGGTTGCAGATTCTGAAAAGGTAGGATCTAGCTGGAGGAAGTAGGTCAGTAGAGGTGTTTCTGTAAAAGTTATACCTGGGGTCCCTTACCTCTCTCGGCTTCCTGTCCTCCATGAAGTAAACAGCCTTCTCTTCCACATGCTTCTGCTGCCATGATGATCTGCCTCCACCACAAGCCCACAATCAGCAGGTCCAAGGGTAAGACAAGTAACTAACACATTCAGAATCACATTTATGGGACTTAAATGTAAAATTGTTATCATTACATTCTACCTGTTTATGTGTTAATATATAATGAGAGTATGCTATAGTAACCTAGATATGTGGTTCTTAAATCCCAGAACATGCTAGGATTTTGTTTTAAATCATGCTGCTGATAAAAATGCAGCTCTAAGGACTGCCCAAAACCACTCAAGAATGTTTATAATACATAACATTAATTAACAGGGAAAGAGGCCAAAATATATGTAAAAGTATATCCACAAAGTGATCATAAATGTGTTTACATATACCTGATTACTTTGTGAAGAGGTTGCACAAATACACAGCCACTACCAGACACGGTGGTACATGCCAAAATGCTAAACTTGGGAGGTTGAGGCAGGACAGAGAGTTAAAGGTCAACCTAGTGAGCTTCAGACCAGGCTAAGCTATAGAGAAAGACCGTCTCAAAAACCAAAGGTAGGTTGGTAAGATGGCTCTGAGACTGAAGATGCTTGCCACCAAACCTGAGGACTTGAGTTTGATTCCTAGGACCCAAAAACAGCGTCCCACCAGTGAGTTGTCTTCTAACCTTTGCACATGCCCAAGTATGCATGTGCTCACACACTAATGTAATTTTGAAGTAAAGAGGTAATAGCAACAGTGTTGACTGGTCACTTCTAAGTATTATTTGACTGACATCTTGAGCAACCAACATAAAGGCGAGCCTTTCTTCAACTGCTATGCTAGAAACAGCTCGGGGACTGGGAAAAATGGGTGGATTCGAACAACAGGGATGCATCTGCTCACCAAGCAACGCCCTTGACTCTGCAGTGTCTGTTGTGGTGAGAAGTAGCAAGGTTAAACCAGGGGTCCTGACAGAATGTCCTTGCTTTAGAAAATAAAAATTGCCACCAACTACCCATGCATCAAAGTTATCAACTAGCTTCTGGACGTAAAAAACATTTTCTAGGGCTGGAGAGATGGCTCAGAGCTTAAGAGCACTGACTGCTCTTCCAGAGGTCCTGAGTTCAATTCCCAGCAAGCGCATGGTGGCTCACAACCATCTGTAATGAGATCTGGTGCCCTCTTCTGGCCTGCAGGCATATATGCTGTATACATAATAAAAAAATAAAATCTTTAAAAAAAAAAATTTCTAGCAAACAAAATATACAAGCATCACACAATGTTTTTTTTTTTTTTTTTTTAAAAAAAAAATAATGTTTTTTTTTTTTTTTTTTTTTTTTTTTTTTTGGTTTTTTAAAATGTATATTATCTCAGTAGGATTTATGTACATCTGAAAACTCAACAGCTACTTAGAAGGATGGCTTAAAATTTTTTTAAAAAAAAAAGGAAAACACAAGGGAGGGGATGAGAGAGTCCGAGTAAGGAATGAAGAGTGAAGTCTGACTTGGGGTACCAGTTTATTTGACATAGTGCACAACTCAAAGCATCTGGTATCTCAGAGTCAACAAGATATCCCATCCCTCTAGTATAATACACCAAGTACCCTGAATGTAGTCTATTCAAGGCCCTGGTTCTTTTCCCTTATACCTAGAATTTAACAGTTTCTCTAATTAGTACACATTTCACATTCTCTGAAGGCTTGGAGGCGAAGGGGAAACAGGGCTTCAAACTGTCCCTCTGAGCCAAAGGCACTTGATGTTAAAAGATAAGGGACAGTAGAGTCACTCCACAGACATTCCTGTGTGTTCAGAACTCTGAACTTGAGTGTCCCACCACTGGCCCACATGGGATTTGTCACAACAATGTAAAAGACACTGATTTCCTCAAAAGAACAAAGTGCAGTAGGAATTCAAAAGACTCACACCCTACCCTTTCCTGAAAATAATACAGAAGAGGATGCTCACCTTATACGATTAGTATTACCCAAGGTTCACACATGGCAAAAAAATAGCTAAAAAATAATCTGTCATAAATTCTCACTATGCAATCACAATACACTCTGCTATTACGCATAAAATCTGTGGGTTGGAGAGAGCCTCAGAGACCGTGTTGTCCATCCCCTCATTTGATGACGGGACAGAGCCCAGGCAGATGAAGTCCTGGACCCCAGGGTCTAAGCCTGTGGCAGAGTCTGGGCAGGACGTCAAGGTTCTCCGCTCTCTCCTCCCTCTTCAAAGGCTCTCAAAGTAAAGCACGGCGATGATCCCCAGAGACGCACCACACGGCAGAGCACGAGCACTGATGGGCAGCAGCAGTTTGGTCACGCGCGACGGGGGGCCTTTGGCTACTGGGCAGACATGGAACTCTCTCCAGGTGGGAACTCTTTATACGAGATCAGTTCCGAGTTTGGGGGAAGCCAGTTGCACATCAGAAACAGTGTCCTGGATCTGGGAAGGCTCCTCTTGGCTGTCAGTCCACAGTGGGCAGGTGGTCGGCGGCACATCGGAACCCCAGGTTGGATGCAGAGCTATCCGGCGTGTTCTGGCTTCGAGCTGCACAGCGGTACCTATAGCAATAGGACTGTAAGAGAGAACACGCCATGAGAAAGCCTGGAACCTGGGCCTAAGGCTTAGGGCACCAAAGTACCTGGTACAGAGACGTCAGAGCTACCTGAAGTCAGAGCTTCCCCCGATTGCCCTCCTAGACACTCAGTGTTAATGCATGCTTGCCAAAGGGCAGCACCTTCAAGAGTCCACCAGCCAGTATTTTTCACCTTAAAAATACTACCTACATAGAGTAGAAAGGCCTCCACCACTTACAAACACCAGTTTAAAAAAAAAAAAAAGCAAACAGTAACCAGCCATGGTTCCCATGTGATCATACAGTCAGCAGCCAGTGAGAATAATGTTTTTACATAATATGTAAAACACAGAATTCCCATAACAAAGTGTTAAATTAAAAGTCAGAATATAGAGCTGTATCTATGGTATGGCCTAACCTATATAACTATATGCTAAGGAAAAAAAGGCACTAAAAGACCCACAAGATTCTAACACTCACAATCATTATCCTTGAAAGCGAAGTTTCTGATTTTTAGCTTATTGTATCAATTTTTTGGCATTTTTATCAGTAGAGACAAATGGCAATAAAAGATTAATAACAGCATCAAATATCATGCAATATATTAAACAGCCTGGTAAAAACTAAAGAGTCAGCATAGGAACATAAAACATAAGAAAGGCCATAGGAAAACTGCTTTCTTCCCAATGCCCTGGGAGTATAAATCACAGCAATAATAAAGCTACACATTTTGGGGTGCAGTTTATTTCCTTCTGTCTAATTGTGTAAGAGCAGAGTCTAAGTGCCCACACAAACACGGACACTGCTTTTCCTAGGACATAGCAGGCACAGTAGCAGGCACTTCTGTCTTTTCTTTCTTTAATGTAAGCGCCTAGGCAGAGCAGGCAAGTCAGAGAAGGTGGCAGCATTGTTAAAGGATGCAGGGCTCCAATCTGGACGAGCTGCAGTGTGGTTCCTTTCTTAGCAAGAGTCCACACTCTCGGTGGGAAGGGTGCCATCCTTCTCACACCTTCTTTCCTACCACCAACACGCACACATCCTACTTAGAAACACACTCACACAAACACACAGGACAAGGATCTGTAGCCACGGACTATTTGACACAGCATTTTGAAAGCTGCCAGATTCCAAAATAACCATGCACAGACAGAACTCTTGTGAGGTTCATTCCCTGATTCAAAGTAACAGAAAATGAAAACAAACTAGTCATCCTGAGTACCATGAGCATAAACTCAAGAGCTGGCCCAGTGAACCCAAGTGCCTGCCAGCTGGTTAAAGAAACTTCAAAAAGAATTGTGTAGAAAATGTTGGGAACTCACACGGAAGAGATAATTTGTAGGAAGGGAAAAAATAGGTCAGCATGCAAGACATTTTTTTTATTCCTATTATTTCTTTTCTCTCACAAAAAGTCAGATGCTTCTAATCTCCATAAAAATTATCTCTGAGGTTGACATGGAAATTCTCTGGTGCATTTCCCCCATAAAAAAAGAAAGACAGAATGCTCTATCTTCTATAGATAATAAAACAATAGCAGCCAATTTTCCTTGTGGACAGCAAGGAACAGAATGTATTACCAATTCTCAGGTAGATAGACAGAAGATGAATTTCAAATGTGCTTGAACTAATAAGAAGCTGATGGTATCTGCGCCTGTGTGACACTCATGAACAGAAGCTCGCAAACATCTGGTAAGGAGTGTGCGAGAAGACACAGCAGAAGCCTCAATGCAGGCACTAGGCTGCTGCGAAATGGCAGAGCTCTGATATTTCTAGAATCAAACTCAGAGAACTTCACGCTCTCTGAAGCCGCACACATGCAGTGAATCCCATGCTGTAGCGAGGTCAAGCTCGGGGGAGGCACACTGATGCTGCTGACAGTCTTATCCCACAATGGGACCACACACAATGAAAACAACAAGCATTTCATTTCCTGACCGCCTACTGTATACACCAGAGAAATTTCATTTCCTGACTGCCTACTGCATACCTCAGGAGAAATTTCATTTCCTGAATGCCTACTGTATACACTGGGAGAACATACCCAGGTCTAGGCATGGTCCTGTCCTGGTTGGCTGGAGACCACAGGCGTGCGAGAAAACAATGACTACACATCAAACAGTTACAAAACAACCTAATTAATAGAATAACGCTAGTCATTTGAATCCCTAGTGGAATGTCAATGTCTCTAGGAAGTACTTGGCCTAAGTGACACATACATGATTATGACAGTGGTTCTCAGAATGCAATTGTGGTGAATAATGCTGTAACTCTGACAGGACTAAAATCACCAAAGAGATAACTTTGGCCATGCATGTGAGGGATTATCTAGATAAGGTTACCTGAGGTGGGAAGACCCACCCTAAGTATGGGTGGCATCATTCCCTAGGCTGCAGTGCTAGATAGCATAAAAAGGAGGAAGCTAGCTGATCACCAATATCTGTCCCCCTCTGTCTCCTGACTGTGGATACAGTGAGACCAGCTACCCCAAACTATAGCCACTATGACTTTCATGTCATGACAGACAGTACTCTGGAACTGTGAGCTGAAATAAACCTTTTCTTCCATAAGTTGCTTTTAAATTATTTATTCTGTCTGTACATTGTATACTTCAACGATCCCTAACAGTCATTGGTCCTGTCAAGTACTTCTTTCCACCCAGTGAGTCATCTCACTAGCCCTTAAGTTGCTTGGGTAAGGGTATTTTATCACTGCAACAAGACCACACACACATACATACATACACACACACACACACACACACACACACACACACACACACACACACAGCCTGGTGAGTTTGTTCAAATGCACATTCCTAGGCCGTACACCCAGAATGCTGCTTTCATGGGGCTCGTGTGGCACTCAAAAGGTATAGTTCTAACAAGCTTCCAAGTGCTGCCTCATGCTTCAGGTCATGAAGTACATTTTGAGTAGCAGCAATTTATAAAGGGGAGTGGCTGGCAGATTAAGTGGCTAGACAATGGTATCAGAAGCATGAAAATGGCAAAAATTAGGCAAGAGAACAGCCAGATCATAGCCCAGTCACATCACAGCAGGGTTATACATTAAATATATGGGAGCTTGTAATACGCCAGATGCAATTCTAGGCATGAGGAATATAATCAGAGCAGACAAACAAGGAGCCTGTTATCAGACAGCTGACATTCCAAGGGAGTAGTCAGACTATAAACAGACTGAAAATTTCAAGACTGCTTCTGGCAGTGGTGGTCTCTGAAGGAAGTAAAAATGGGGAGAGAGAACCAAAAACAACGGTGGATACTTTTTATAGGGGGGTTGGAAAGGCCTCTCTCTGAGAGAGAGCTGAGATGACCAAAGAATTGGAAAACCAGAATTCTAAACACAACGAGCCCAAGATGGTTAATGTAAAAAGCAAGAAATTTAATCAGATAAAAAGATGAACTCACACTACTGTCTCCATAGTCAGAGGAATTTGAACTCCATACAAATGAAAATGGTGATAAATATTTTACTAATTTTTGACCAGCAAGGGCAAATTTCTGAGCTCAGTGGCTATTTAACCTCAGGCAAAACCTTCCAGAACCTGAGTCCTCATTGATAAAGTGAAGTTGTCCGTAGAAGTCCACAGAAATTCAGGAATCTGGGTCCTCATTCATAAAATGAAGCTGTCCACAGAAGTCCACAGAAACACTTCATCTTGGTTGGAGACTGAGCTCAGTGTTAGAGCATATGCCTAGTGTGAGCAAGGCCTGCGTTCAATCCCTTGCACCACAAAAACTGAAACACACCAAAACAAACCCCTCCATACCAAAGGAAAACAAGCAGCGTATAGAGAACACTGCAAATGATATGTTTAGTAGACACACAATCTTGGTCACAGAAACGCGGCTTGGCTGACCTCTTCCTCACAGAAACAAGAGCACTACTGTCCAGCTTTGCAGCAGGCCCTTGAGACTGTGTTGAGTGTGGGGAAAAGATGACACCCCCTCCAGCTTTCGACTGTGGATAGACTTGTGCTACACAGATGGAAGGGAAAGGTTTATTGCCATATAAACAAGCAAGCTGAAGGACAGCTCTGGTAACAGAGCACAGGACTATAGTTTTTGTTGGATGGCTTATTCTATATGCTACAAAAGCCAGGCTGCAACAGCTCTGATGGATTTTCAGTGCCTACTCAGAGCAGTGTTGAGAAGGATTCTGCATCAATGATATAACAGACTAGAGAAAAGATCTGTGACTTACAAGATTGTTATTATGTCCATAATTGAAAACCTTGAGTATAGACAAAGTAATTAATTCCATTTTGAAAAATATATATTAAAGTACATAAAAACTCATGGCAGAACACCATCTAATAGTTTTCTCTAGGACATAAGACATCTTTATTTTTCTTTTCTAAATTTTATGCAATGAATTTGCTTTGTTGGTATAAGAAAAAGCCTCAAAATCAACAACCACATAAAGGGTTATCATTGGATGACAGCGGTTCCCAAGCCTTCCATTAAATAAAACTACAAAGAACTGAATCCAAAAACAGCAAGTATCACCACAAAAGTGATGAGGGGATGGGGACATCACTTGGTGGTAGAGCATTTTCCCAGTGTGTGCAAGGCCCTGGGCTTGATCCTTAGCAACAGACACATAGACACACAGACACATAGACACACACTGACACACTCATGCTTGCACACACCTGCACTCATGAGTACTGAAAAGGTAGGCCCATCACCTGCAAAGAATCAATTCATACCATCATTTTACTTAAACACATCCATTCACTCAGAAAATATTTATTAATAAGTACTTCTCTTAAATTTCAATAATGGGTCACTAATAGAGACACAAATAAAGAACAAATGTCCTGGTTATGAATGTTCTGGTTATTCTTTATATTTTTTTTTGCCTCTATTTTTAGCATCAAAAGTGGTTCTTACAGGAAGTGAGGTCTTTGGGTGGCTGAAAAATGGGTCATTCTATTAATTAAGAATGGGAGTAGTAGGAGAGACTTGCTTCAACCTGATTTGATCAAAATGGCTAATGACTTTGTAAAAGTGGTCTCAGTATCTATGCTAAGGATGTATTCCTGGATCAGGAAACAATCCATTTAAGATAATGACCTACTAGCCTGGAGGATGTGAACTCAATTGAGACAGAAATATGGTTTTCATGAGAGGAAAATGTTTCTCAGATAAAGGGTATTTTTCAGGCAATTATATCTCATATTGAATAAAATCATTCTAGAGAAGCATGTACCTGAGCCCAGGTCTTACCACTGTTCTTTCAAATGGCACAGACCAACTCCTTTGTCATCTTGGTATCTATCTGGAATTCTAAGGGCACTCAACAAAGAAGTTGTGCACAGACATGTATTAGACAAAATACTCATACACACAAAATAAAAATAAAACTTTTTAAAAATTAATTATAACATTCTTTTTATTTCTGGACCTGTTGTCTTACTCTGGAAAAATTCCGATTCTATCCAGTTTTGTCATTCTATTATTCTCTCTTGTAATAGTTTCTTCATCACTCTGAGCCTAAATAACTCAAGATCCATTCTACAGGTTGATTTGAAAAAGTTAATTGTTAACTTGATTCTAAATCAACCATTCATTTTAAAACAGAGTTATAGATAACAAGCCTAAGGAGAGAAAATGAAGTGATTCAAATAACTTAATCCAAAAAAGATTTAAAAAGAACAAATAAGGCAAAGAAAAAAACCAAAATCTCAAGAAACCAATTTCAAACTCAATAATATCAATAGTTGCATTAAATATCATTGGTTTAAAGAATCAATGAAAATGCAGAGATTGAAATAATAAATTCAAAAATTCATATGAAAGACTTGATTCCTTTAAAAAATAGGATTATCAGAGCTTACCAAGTAGAAACAGATAATCTATAAAGGCCAGCATCTAAGTAACTTTAAGTAACTTTACAATTATAACTTGTGAAAGTTTAGATACAGTTTGAGTGTATTCCCTAAGGCTGTCAAGCAGGTGGAGACATACCTTATGTTGTTTAGAAGTGAGAACTTTTGAGGAAGTGATTAGGATTAAGTAACATCAGTTACGTAGAGTCAATATACTTGAATCTTATTAACTTTATAGGAAGAGGGCAAGTGATCATAAGGAATGTGCACACACATATGCATGCACACACACCATTCACAAACACACCTCATCACTTCCCATGTGATGCCTCGGACCAACTCTGAATACTGCCAGCAAAAATATAATCAGCATATAATGCTGTTCAGCCTTGCATCCCTAAAAACATCCGCCACAATGAGCCACTTTTCCTTGCAAATGTAGTCTGCTTGGGTTTCCATCACAGGAATGGGAGGGGAAGGCTCAAGTCTAGGTCCAAATGTCTTTAATCAGGAACTCTACCAAGAATTTCAGAAGGAAAAAAAAAATGTTAGTTTTACATGAAGTCTTCTTAAAAATTTTGGATAAAAAACTGAAAATATGACAATATTTTCCAATTAAATTTATGAACATAACAATAAACCAAAACCACACAAAGATTACTAGGAACAAGAAAAAAAAGGATCTACTCATCATTAAGTATATGTAAAACTTCTCAACAATTTAAACAACTGAATCCAAAATACATAAAAAGGATAACACATCATGACTGAGTGGAATATACACCAGGAATGCAATGGTGGTTTAATAAACGAAAATCAAGCTGGACATGGTTGGTTGCTAATGTGCGATTCTGGGTCCCATAGTGAATTCAAAGTCAGTCTTGGCTACACAGCGAGACCCTGACTCCAAAAGCAACAGGAAAATGAACATCAATCATTGTACTTCATCATATTATACTGCACTTAACTGACTGAAGGGGAGGAAAAAAAAATCATCTCAACAGATGTACAAAAAGCATCTAGCAAAATCTATATTCATCGATGATTAAAAATTACATATAAGCTGGGTGGTGGAGGCACAACACCTTTAATCTCAGCACTTGAGAGGCAGAGACAGGCAGATCTCCAAGTTCAAGCTAGCCTAGTCTACAGAGTGAGTTGCAGGAGAGCCAGGGCTACACAGAGAAGCCCTGTCTCAAAAAAAATTGTAATATTCTCAATCTGATATGAAATATAACAACTATAGCAGTATAATACTTTCAAAAATTATTTATTCCCTATGATCAAGGCTGGGCATGGTGGTGCACACCTTTAATCCCAGCACTAGGAAGGCAGAGGCAGGTGGATCGGTGTGAGTTCAAGGAAAGCCTGGTCAACATAGTAAATTCCAAGTCAACCAGAGCTACATAGTGAGACCCTGTCTAAAAAAAAAATGAGACATGAGCCAAGAAAGGTAGAATATATCCATAGTCCCATTTATTGGGGGGTTGAGGGAGAAAGAATGCTTTACTTCAGGAGTTGGAGACTACATGGCCAGTATACCAAGACCCTGACTCAAAAATTTAATTAATTAATTATGATTCCATAAAGTTAAATTCACCCACATCTTATTAGTAGTGTAGATCTGTTGTCTTTTTCAGCTTCAGTTTTTTAAGACAGGTTCTCACTGTGTAGCCCTGGCTGATCTTGAACTCACAGAGACCCATATACCTCTGTCTGATGGAATTAAAGGTGTGTGCCACTATGCTCAGTTTAATGCAGGTATGAAGCAAGAATTGAGCTAAACTGGATGAACTTCCCACCTGAATCACATGGTCAAAGAGTCTAAATGAAGAAACTCACAAGGATCACATACAAATTCACTCATGGATATCATCTAGTTTCTTGAGGCCATTACCAAACTTTGCTGTATGTTTTCAAAACCTGAAAAGCTTTAAAGATCCTGACGTTTTTGAACAAAATTTGATAATGTCTCTATTACAAAATCAATAACTTAATTTGGAGTCATTATAGATGGTTTTAAGTCTCAGGACTGAGTCAATTACCATGCAAAGATTCTTGGTAATATTAAACCGCAAAATGCTTCTTGGTACACAGCCAAAGTCAGACCCTGAGTGCTCAAGGCACTAAAAATACATGACTCAAAGAGGAAAGGGAAAGGGTTACATTCTATTTCCAAATTCCTTATGAAAGTTGCTCGTGAAGCACCAATAACTCTGACTAAACAGGAACTGCCAGTCTGGACACTGAAATCATAGCTCATGGGGCAAAAATGCACATGTTTACACCCAACACACTAGGGTGCTTCCATTTTGGTAGACCACAAACCACCCTCCATTTATAACTTTAGCTTTAATCTCAACAGAGAACTCAGGAATTTACAGACATCTGAAATTATAGGTGTGGTCCTAGACTTAAACATGGGTATAGGTAGATGGCCCACACTATTTCACAGACCAGCAGAAGCCTCTCAACAAGCAAGAGTCAGCAGATTATCTGGCTGACAGCACACAATTCACAAGTTCTGTTCGCCTGTTACTTTCCCCCATGTCTGTTAGTAAATTGAAGACTCCCTTGTCTTTTTCTCATTTGGATGGGAAGAGGCTTCTATCAGCAAAAATGAATGGAACATTTGAGGGCAGTATGTTATGATAATTTGTGACCCACGGGAACATCTCAACAGTTGAGTAGCATGACTGACCTTATGGCACATGTAGGAACCACCTTTCTTCACTCGGTCTTTACCAGAAGCAGGACCTTTCTATGGATGAAAAGAAATACCCTGTTAGTCTCAACAACATGAATGCTCTTCACATAGTGGGAATGAGTCCAGTTTGTTAGAAGCAGTCATCCAGTGGCTACCTAAACTCTCCACATGTGTTTCTATCCTGGACTCTGCACCTGCACCCATACCCTTCTGAATACCCATGTTCCCAAATGTCCAACTACCTTTCTTCTACAATCCACCCAAGTTCCTGCTACTGGATGAAGACTTTGTGAAGACAGAAAGCAATTCTACCTCGAATCTCTGAAGTTTATGTTTTGCCTGGGTGCCTAATAAACTGCTTGGCAGCATCTCCTGCCTCATCACCCTGATATGCAGACTTATCCTGTATTATCACTGTCTTATTCATTCAGATAGAAAGGTTGAGTCATGTTGTTGTTGGTTACCAATTCCTCTGTGCATCACCCAGAATACCCTTTACACAGTTTCAAAAACTACATACAACCATGTAATTGCCAATGTAATTCAGAAGCAGAACACTGTTTTCTTAAAAACTAAAATAAAACACTTTGGACAGTGGCTACTAGGAAGAAAGCACTGTCCGGAGTATTCTGTATTAACTCTTGTGTCATCAAGCATTCCTCTGGAGGGAGATTAGGAGCAGGATGAGGATTCTCACCCAGGCTTTGCTCCACGATTTGTGCTCTGAAGCACTCTACCTTACTTCCCATTAGAAACCAGAAGGGCAGGGAGTTGGAGAGAGCCTAATGTTCACAAGAAGGAACGGGGAAGAGAACAAAGATCCAGACAGAGCAGCCAAAAGGCAAGTCTGTTTCTTCTAGAAAGAACTTCTGACAAAACAGCAATGGAGATGAAAATGCTGAAGCTTCAACTGCCAAGATAAAAGCTTCAAGATCAAGAAAGCTCTCCAAAAGGCATGTAAGAAGTGCCAAGACGCCCCATCAACCCCATCAACCAGAGCTGGGGAGTGGGGTGGGAATGGTTTTGTTTTTCCTTTGTTGTTCAAAAAGACAACTAATCACACGGCCATCTGCTCTGTTTACTGAAAATAAGAGAAGCCCGCACAACCCTCTTCCTGGCTTGGTTTTCCCATTTCTAGTTAAAAACATGTTTTTCGATGGCTGTTGAATAAGAGACAAAAGTTAAAAGGGCCACGCACACCTCACCCTCAAACAGGGGTAGCACACTGTCTTGACAATGTTATCAAGGTAGATAGAAGGGCAGGTTTCTTCCAAGCATTTCCAGGTATTTCTACACTGACACACAATCACTGGCTCTCCATCATTCCTTTGCACGTTCAGAGTATTCCCAAGGCCCTAAACACTTAGATACATTGATAAATTTTACCGATTATAATTGGCATACTGAAAATGTAAAAAGTACCAGTGAAGATAAAGGTTAGATGCACAGCTTTCTCCTCAGGAACATCTAAAATTAGACAGCTACTGCATCAGAAACTCTGGATGAGTTTATCAGTGTATAAAAGTAAGGTATTTGGAGCTAGAGAGACAGCTCAGCAGTTAAAAAACACTGGCTGCCCTGCTAGAGGACCCAGGTTCAATTCCCAGCACCTACATAGCAGTTCACAACTATCCATAACCCCAATCCCAAGGGATTGGTGGCCTTCTCCTACTCTCTGTGGGTACTGAATGCACATGGTACACAGACATACATGTAGGCAAAACACCCATACACACAAAACAAAGTAGGAAAAGGGAAGGCATTAATCAAAAATTTGCTTGAAGGGCTGAGGAGATGGCTCAGCGATTAAGAGCACTCAGTGCTCTTCCAGAGGACCCGGATTCAATTCCAGCACCCACATGGCAGCTCACACAACTGTCTGTAACTCTAGTTCCAGGGGACACAATACCCATGGCAAAAACACCAATGCACATTTAAAAAAAAAGAAAAATGACTTGAAGTGTGTATAATTACATATTGGCTCCATATGATGGCCATATCTCTTAAGACTTTCTTGCTTGGGAATTCTTGCCTTTGCTTACTTGGGAGGTTGCCACAGTCTATCAAGCCACAGGTTAGTGACAAATCAGTTCTTACCATAATTATCACAGTATGTGCCAGAATATAAGATAAAATAAATTCTGTTTTGTCAAAATACATCTAAGAACAAGAACGGGTCATTCACCAGTGGGAAGATGTGACAACAAAATTTCCCTCTCACTGCTACTCCAACGACCTAAGGTTGCAGCTGAAAAATATGTCACTCTTCATGGTGGCACAGCACTAAAAGAACCATCACAGGCTAATACAACTATAATAGCCAACACAATCCTCATCCTAGGTGACTGCTCAGCTACTTGCTATAAGTAAGATTATTTTTCTTATAAACAAGACATAGGATTAGGTACAATGGTTTGATAGGCTTACCACTTTGCTAAAAAGGCAGGAAAATTACTAAGAGGACACATGTCTTAAATAGTGACCCTAAAACATATTCAACAGAGCCTTAAAAGGTTACTAATTTGAGTTGCTGGGATGGCTCAGGAATAAAGGGGCTTGTCACAAAGCATTTATGAACTGAGTTCAATCCAAAGGACTTACATGGAAGAAGAGAAAACTGACGCCTGCAAGTTGTCTTCTGACTTCCACATACCCACTGTGGCATGGGTGTGTGCACACATAAACATACAAACAAAATAAATAAATGGGCTAGTGATGGTATCTCTACTTCCCTATCCTTAGGTGGTAAGAGCTTTTGCTAAAGACACCACTCACTTTGGGAGCGGGACATAGAGAAATCAACCTCAAACTGACTAGTAAACTCTACTGAATGGCTAGCCTACGGAATGACAGAGGTGCTATCAAGGCTGCTGGGGGGAAGAAGCATCACTGGTCTTACCTAGTGTGGGAACCTGATGCTACAACACTAACCTGTTGGCCAGATGTGCCCATTAGTACAATACTGCCATGATCCCTAGGGAAGTAACCAACTGCTTTCTGATTGGCTGTGAGCCTAGCTCCACAGGAGGAATTTCATGCCTGGTACTGTACACCTGGTCAAAAGTCCATTATTGAGGAGATCACAGGCCTTAGGGGGAGCCTATGTTTTTGTTTTGCTAAATGGTGACACTTTCACGCTGCTTTCTAAATACTGATGTTTATAGCCATGGATTTGTGTTGCTCTCATATTTGGTCAGAGAGGATTCTTGTGTAAGACCCGTAACTGGTGGAAGTGCACAGTGTGAGTAACTGTGCACATGTCATCTACATTAGCTTGCCACCATCCGAGGCACAGGCAGCGTCACAGAAGAAAGGAAGAGTTAGCAGATGGCAAGAAGAACTATAACATGCTGACTTCTGGAGATTACAAGGATGTTGAATGCATCAACTCAGTTTCATAAGATGAAGTCAGTTAAAATTCCACAATGGATCAAGAAAGAGTCCGCCAGTACCACTCTACTCAAAGAATTAAAAATATTATTTTAAAATTCTACATTTTAGCCGGGCGGTGGTGGCGCACGCCTTTAATCCCAGCACTCGGGAGGCAGAGGCAGGAGGATCTCTGTGACTTCGAGGCCAGGCTGGGCTACCAAGTGAGTTCCAGGAAAGGTGCAATGCTACACAAGAGAAACCCTGTCTCGGGAAAAAAAAATTCTACATTTTATAGACACATACTGAAGTTTTAGGCAAAAATCATATAGCACTTGGAATTTCTTTTAAAATAATATAAAAGTGTTTGATTAAACTAGACTGAATAATTGCTAAAATAGAAGCTTTACAACATGTCACAATTCTGTTCCTTCTGGCTTTGGGTTAAGGTGAGCTACAAGAGACATCTCCTGGGAGGCCTGGACGACAAGAAAAACAGGAGCTATAGTATTTTCCTGCTCAGAATACTAACATGAGAAGATCAAGCAGATCTGCAGCTGCTGCCACCTCCCTCAGACCATCCATCCATGCTTCAGCCCCTGACTCCAGGGCAGGTGTGCTCTGGGCTTGAACATGAAGGACTCTATCTATAGGAGTCAGCATCTTCAGAGTTGAAAGCAGTGAGAGATTAGCAGTTTCAGTCTGTCTGCATGACTTCAGGTGACAATCCTAAGAGCCAGATTTCCTTTGCTCTTTCCAACTAGACATGCATATTCTTTTCCAGTTGTATTCTCATAGATCTCAGGGAACCACTTGAAAAAACACCACTATTTCATAATCCAGTGTACATATGTATCACAGTATCAAAAATGAAACTGAAAAAACAGCATTACAGCCACTCTGGATGGTAAAAATTCAGTAATAAGTGCATCTTACACACGTAGATGTGCACAGACACATGCTCACTAGTAGTTGGTTCCATCTCTGAATAATGATTGACAGAGTTATTAACCACTGAGTCTGAGCTACGAGGTTCTCTACTTTCATTTATATCTCAACATTTTCAAAGTAAAAAACTTAAAAGTAACATTTATCTAGGATGCCACCAAGAAGAGTCATTAAAGAACTATTCACAACATTGCCTGAAGAAGAAAGAAAAAAGAAGTTAAGAGGCAGGGATTGTGGGTCTTTAAAATTGCCATTCATGAGTCAGTTATCAAACTCGTTTAATAAAAATTGGGGAACAGATTCAGTGTACTAAAAACTGTAATTCTCTGGCATAATAAGGTTCTCCTTTGTACACTCAGACAATTCATTAAAAATTTTAAATGTATCTTTCTTTGCGTTTACTGTCTCATTATAAACAATGTAGTAATATAAACATAATAATTTCCCAAAGCAGAAAATAATAAGTTCCTAGAAGGTGCCCACAATGCTCTAAATAACCCCTCACCAATACCCCAATAAGCAACCCCAATAAAACTCACTGGGACACACACACACACACACACACACACACACTGTAGCTGGGAGGAGGATGGGGATAAGAGGGCAATAGGGTGAAAATGATAGTTGTGTATGTATATGAAAACATCATAATGAGGCAGGTGGTGGCGGTGCAAGGCTTTAATCCTAGCACTTGGGAGGCAGAGGCAGGCAGATCTCTAAGTTGGAGGCCACCCAAG